AGTGCACATAGGAACAAATGTGCGCTAGTCCATGTAACGATGTAACGCGATTGTTGTGTTCTATTTGACTGTCTACCACAATATCAGTCTGACAACGGCCACTAATATATAGTAAACTAGTCTACTACAACCCATAACCTAAACCCTAACCCTAACTCTAACTAACTCTTGTTTGTTTGTTTAGTATAGGGTTATACCGCGCTCTCAACTGCATAAAGTCATATGAGTGCGCGAAAAACAAGTTGGTAGCATTCGCAACAGTTCACTGCACGGTAGGTCAACTATTAGACTTTAAAATGCTAAAATATTAAAATTCGGTGTAATAACTAACTCTAATCCGATGGTTGAGTGAGGGTTTGCAAAGCGTTAGGGTTAGGTTTTTGGACTAGTTGACTACAAAAGATGACCAATTGTTGAATTAGTCGGGTAGTAGACCGACAGATAGAATAGAAATGAGGTGGTAAACTCTTACGTGGTCTGGCATCGTTTTGATTTTCACAATATTTCAAGTTTTTTCGAATGCAATTTTTTAAAAATATCTTGATAACCACTCAGAATAATCTTACGACTTTGATAGAGGTCAGCTAAAACATTAAATCCAAAACGACGAAAAATGTCAAATAGAACTTCATAATTCTGAGGATACGAAACATCACGTTTTTGTGTGATTTAAACCTGGTTATAGATGCTAGAATATACGAGTACTAGAAAGTTGAATAATCTTTATCATAAAGGCAAGTCAATCTTATGAATATTTTCTAACGAATTTCGGATGTTTCTTGAGTCAGTTCACTTTTTTCGTATTCGGCAATCGGATTCTATTTAGCCAGATATGCATCAACTCTGGGAAATCTTTATAATAATAGTTCTCATCGGATCCGATTTGAGACGAGACATGTTGACGCATCCCAGTTTGACTCTGGGGCTGCTGCTTGCGTAGCGGGCAATTCATCTCTTGAACCACATTCGTTTCCAGTCTGTAGTTTTTTTTTTTTTGTGTATATATGTTTTGCGTGTGTGTTGGG